GAAGTGAATTAAACATTACATTATGTCAAGGTTTCCAAAACTGTGATTCATAACTGTAGGGGGTCGTGCGTGATGAGCAAATACGTAATTAAATAATAAAAATGTAAAATTAAAATAAACACTTAAAATGGTAATTATTTAGGTGGTCGTTATTGCCACCTAACTAGTGACTGGTCTTTGTGTGAATGTCCACAAAACTGGAAGGCTTTCTGAATGTGTAAACTATTTTAGAAAGGAAAATTTAAAAGATGAAAAATAATAATCACGGAGAATCAATAAATTAAAAATAATTTATTGCTATTGTGTGAATAATAACGTAATCAATAAAAAAGGAACTGTAGTCTGATTACATGTAATCAGTTACTACCCACTGTGTAATGAAGTAGAATGAAATTGAAATTGTTAGGGTCTTATAACTGGTACAAAAGTTGGTACATGACTTTCATTTTACACAGGAAGCAATGATCTTATTTAAAACAAACGTCCATTTTTGGAGAGCTGTTGTCTGCAATGCAGCACTATATACCACTATAGAACTGTTTCATTACACATCTTTTATTCATAAAGACCTGCACAAGCAGACGGCGAGGAAAAAACTTCACAATGCCTGAATATGTTTTAGCTCTTGGCTGTGGGTTTAATCTCACTCTTGGAGCAGTTCCTTAAGACAAAAACAGACTTAAAGTAGTTTTAAGATTTTCAAACATGAAAGTGCACTTGATTTCACATCGTGCTGGTGGGTATATCATGACCAGCGGACCTCTACTAAAGATTACGGTCAGATAATATGCGTCACGGGCAAAGCATTTTCAAATATCCAAATCCAAAACTAAACTAATGGATATAAATCATCCAAACAAATAAGGGTTCATCACAAGGTCATCAAAACAAATAAAAAGTATACACAAACTGAAACAAGCCAAATATACAGGAGAATTTTGCAACACCATATATAAAGTTTATCTGAAGTAAATCCACAGTTATTCTGAGGTTGGTTGATTACACACTATAATCTCATGTCATCTGAGAGTTCGGATGCACATTTATGTAAGTACTGTAACTATGGAGTGCATGGCACAACTCACTACTACCGTTATTCTGACGAGACACGAGGGGCAGATGAGTGAGAAGGATAAACTGGAACCCTTTTTTTGTTTTCTGCTTTGAAGCATATTCATTTATCCACAAGAGGCACCATCATGCTTTATTATGGCTCTAAAAGAGCAAGCATGTCAGCCTGAACCAGAGCACCGTCACTGCACCAGTATTTCAATGTGAACCGATGATCAAACAGATACAGCTCAAGATAAAGTGTGACGTCTGATTTCAAAGGCTCTACAGCACTTGGGGTGCAGTCTAAATGTTTACCTAAAGAAAGTAACGGCATGACTAATGACTAATAACTAAGCTAAAAGTAGTTCAGCAGAGATTAGCCTTCACTGCCAGAGACTGTAAATACTGCACCCCACCATGTGGCTGCAGGGAAAATAGGCTCAGACTACATCCTAGAAACTCTGAACACACAAGAAAATGAAATATTTATGGGGATTACATTTGTACAGAAGGCATATTTTAATTAACTTGTAATAAGACAGATTAAAACCTAAATAAAAAGCTGTCAGACTTACTCAAATTATATATAAAGGAAGTTGGCATATAACATGTCCATGGATCTTATAAAAAAATAATAATAATAGTATATTATAAAATAAATAACAATATATAAAATAAATAAAATGTACATTGCATTAAAGATTTTAACTTTTAAACTAAGGTTTTCACTTGTTTTGCCCTCACTAGTTCATTTGAAATAGCCTTATGGTGTGATGTAACGAATCATCCACTGAAGGCGAGCGTAGCGAGAACCCAAGTGCAGTTTATCTGTGTTCCATTCCCTAGTCCGTTCCAGTCATCAGCTCCGTGGATTCTCCGTGTACCCATCATCTGAGGTGTGTGCAGTCCTCTGTCTCCCTTCAACGATCTCCTGTGAAACCCAGATACGGTGTTACTCTCCTCATCTTCCCTAAAGACTGATATAAAGCCCTAATACTCACCTGCCCGTACCATCTGCATCGTTTGCTGAAAATAACCTACCCTTGTATTTTTCTAATCCTCTGTGTGAGTCTCCTTCCGTAACAGTATTAAGTCAAATAATGAAATGCACAGAATTGGATTGATCGGGTGGAATAAGCTGCAATGTGAACAAGGGCTGCATGATCAAACTGCAGTTTTTCTGCTAAAAATCAAAATTGCGATTAAAGGTTTGCGCTTTGTAAAGTTTGGGCAAACATTTTTTTGATTATATATCAATATGACCATAGAAGTATAATACTATTTATTATGATGATAAATATTTTTATATTATTATTAAATAAAAATACAAAAAAAAAAAGAAACATCATTGTAATATTTAGCAAAAATAAAAGAAATTTAAAATATACTAAAATAGTATTTAAAATAATAATATAGTAATATTTATTATTAAAACTGTAAACTTACAATAACATTTATGGCCTTCTTATTCTTCTTCATTTTTGTTAAAGAGTCAAACGTTTATTCTGAACAAAACACCAGGAGCCCTTAAAGTTTCTCTTTTGTTCACAGCAGCCGGTTTATAAGCTCTTCTCATTACAAGTATGGGAAGGCACATATTGCACTTTTTAAGCAAATTCAGATCAGATGCAAAGATGGAGTTTGTGAGGAGCAGCATTTACCGTGAACCAAGCTGCTCCAAAACAATGGATCATAAACTGCATGCGTGTAATTGAACACTGTGCCATGCTTCACTCCAAAACATGCAGCATATATATTATTGAATTAAATTGCAATTTGAAAATCGTAGTGAACCATATTGCAATTTCATTTTATTTTGATTAATCATAGCCCTAATTTAAACTAGTATTTTATATATATGTCAAAAGATGCCTCATTAAACAAATCAGATTACACCATTAACCATTATTGATTAATCACTGCTGCAAAAATGTGCTTTTCGGCCTAGTGTAGCAGCAAACAGAGGAGCTCAATGACCTATTAAAGTACGTCCTTCACAAGTTTCTCTGAATTGTTTTTCCACTAACATCAACCCCTGGAGCTACACTTACACCTCCAGACAGCTCAAAGCCTCAGAAAAGAATTAAAGAAATAAAACTTCACTCTTGGCGCTCACATCTCCGAGCACACTAAATCGTCTCTGCATCAGGACCTCATTTCCCATGAGCCCCTGCAGGCGTGACTCTCATCATCTCCCAGTGCTATGAGGGGGTCTATACAGCACAATCCCAGAGGACCACCCAGATCTTCTCTGTCATGTGAAAACCTGCTCCACCAAAAAACTTCGACACAACTATATACTTCCAACCTGGGTGTGATCCAGAGATGACATCTCAGCAATCCCATCATCTACTTCAGCATCCACTCAACATGGTAGGGGGTCAGAGCACCAGCTTTGATAGAGCTGCAGAGGCTTGTGTTGACTGATCTCAGAGCAGTGGCACCAGCCCCGGGGGTCTCCACAAACAAGCATGGGCTTATGTAGAGATCAATCTTCAATGCGGAGCAGCAGGCGCACTGGAGCAGATTACTCCGACACACCAGCGCATGAGCTCAGGAGAATGGATTAGATGTTCTGGGCCTTGAATCAGTCTCTGTACATTTAGCTTTTTATAGAGTAAGGCAGCATGTTCCTAGGAAGTGGGTCTTTTCATTAGTGATGGACCGATACACAGCAGCCCCAAAAATCTTTAGACACTTTTGGACACTTAAGTCACACTTATAAATCTGAATGTCACTGCATTAGATACAAAATAATAAATCAAGTGGCATCTGAAAAAAATAAAATAAATAAATAAAAAAACCACTGAAAACCACTTTCTTTTTATGATATATTTTGCTTGAAAAAGCATGTTTGTTTGGTTGTGCTGTCTTATAAATAAATAAAATGCCATTTGGTTTGACATTTTATTATATAAATGTTTAGATATGGCTTCTTTTTTGACCTATAGAGTTTTAGCCGGCAACGGCGAATGGCACGGTGGATTGTGTTCACCGACAATGTTTTCTGGAAGTATTCCTGAGCCCATGTTGTGATTTCCATTACAGTAGCATTCCTGTATGTGATGCAGTGCCGTCTAAGGGCCCGAAGATCACGGGCATCCAGTATGGTTTTCCGGCCTTGACCCTTACGCACAGAGATTGTTCCAGATTCTCTGAATCTTTGGATGATATTATGCACTGTAGATGATGATAACTTCAAACTCTTTGCAATTTTTCTCTGAGAAACTCCTTTCTGATATTGCTCCACTATTTTTCGCCGCAGCATTGGGGGAATTGGTGATCCTATGCCCATCTTGACTTCTGAGAGACACTGCCACTCTGAGAGGCTCTTTTTATACCCAATCATGTTGCCAATTGACCTAATAAGTTGCAAATTGGTCCTCCAGCTGTTCCTTATATGTACATTTAACTTTTCCGGCCTCTTATTGCTACCTGTCCCAACTTTTTTGGAATGTGTAGCTCTCATGAAATCCAAAATGAGCCAATATTTGGCATGACATTTCAAAATGTCTCACTTTCAACATTTGATATGTTATCTATATTCTATTGTGAATAAAATATAAGTTTATGAGATTTGTAAATTATTCCATTCCTTTTTTACTCACAATTTGTACAGTGTCCCAACTTTTTTGGAATTGGGTTTGTATAATGTTATATATACTACCGTTCAAAAGTTTGTGGTCAAAAAGTTTGGAGGACCAAAGTTCACTAAATGAAATGATTAAATAACGAATTCAATAAAACAACAGTTAAATGTACCAATTTATTCTGAAATAATTACATAATTATTAAATAATTGAACTAATTAATGAAATAATTAAATTAATAAAAGAATCAATAATTAAATGTATCCATTTATTTAGTAAAATTCCATGAAAATCTTTGTGTAAAATATTTCACAATATCCTCTTTCACACACTACTTCTGTGTTTAAATACCTCTTTTCATAATAAAATGTGCTTTTCCAAAAAGCCGTTTTTCATAATAATATGCTGAATTTATGAATGACGTCTATTTGACGAATCATGTATTTCCAAACCACAATTGGTTTAAAGTTGAAGAGCAGGCAGATGTGACAAATATATCTTCGTGTGGTTGGTGACATTAGTGATGGAACGCCAAGTTCACAGTTTTTCCCACGTACTATGCACCTGCAAGCATGGCGAATAAGACAATATCAGTCTCATTAAGTCAAAATAATCTTAAATAAAATGTTCTAAACATGCTATATAAATAAATATGGCCTTTAAAAATGTTTAATGAAGGTCTCCTCGGCCCATTCCAATGGGGGGTTAACCATTATATCATCCACCACAAGCCGTCCCAGTGCAGTGCGTGGGAACATTTATCTGTATTGATTTGTTCTATGCATCAGGGGGTCCCAGGGCTCGAGATTCGCAGGGTAGGACGGGGCAGTGATGCTGGGTGCAACTAAAAAGGTCCCATTTTCCGGCGAGTTTCAGGTGGGGAGTTAAGGACGGCTGAAGCCCTGGCTTCTGCGGCCTCGTATCACACGATCCTCTTGACTGTTTACTTCCTGAACTGACATTTTCTTTAGAGCGCTATTCAGCGCAAACCCCGCCCAGCAGCCAATTTCATTGGTTAAGGTTACGAGGTACACTGTAAAAAATTATCTCGAAGTTTAGTTGTTTCAATGGATTTTTTTAAGTTGACAATTGCAGTTTCTAAATTTGATCATTCAACTTAACATTTTAAGTTTTCACTGTCTCAACTAGTTTGTAAATTGACTGAACTAGAGTATTAGCCCCTCAACTTAAAAAAATGTGTTGAATCCACTGATCTATATGATGACTGGATTGCTCACTGCATTCTAAACTGCCGTCAGGGGGTGAATCCACCAGAAGTGTTTGAGCGGCCATCTTACTATTCCCTTCCGGCTGAGAGCATCGTTGACTGACAGCCGAAACACTGACCTAAAATCACCTGATCTGAAGCTTATCAGACACAGGATTATTTTTTAGGATATGCTGTGTGTCAATTAATTGTTACTTCAGATGTTATCTGCAATGTTTATGGTCTTTTCGAAAAGGATAAGCGATATTGATGTATTAAACATGGACATATGATCTATAATAGAGAACTGGATTGCTCATGACGTCATAAAAGTGAAGCTACCATGCCGCCACATTGGTATTCCCATTCATTCTAATAATTAATTAAAGGGGTCCTATTATGCTCTTTTACAAAGCCTTGATTTTGTTTTGGGGGTGTACTAGAACAGGCTCTCATATAGGTTGTTCGAAAAACACATTATTTTTCACATATTTTACATTATTACAACACCTCTCTCCCCAGTCTGGCATGCTGACCAAAAAACAAAACCTCTAAGTAGAGGAAAATGATGGATTAAATGTTTAAATCACCAAAACAGGCAATAGTGATATCGTAAGTTCAAATACATCTTTGTTCTTTCTATTTCTTTCTTTTACTCTGTTGCCCCATCTCAAAATAAATATGCATGTTATACATGTACAGACTCACATGCACACCCTCTTCACTCCTGGAGGTGATCAGGTTGTCTCTAATCAAGGTTGAGGGCTCCTGAGCCTGTTTCAAGTGTGTTGAGGGCTGAAGACCACATGTATATTTAATGGGGCGACGTCTGCTGCTTATCAAAATCATTGTGTGTTTGAGGGGTACGATGATGAATGCATATGTCAAGTTATTAATAAAACGTGGTCATCTAATGCTCTTCTACCTGTATGTCTATCGTATATGTAATGATGTAGGCCATTAAGTGGAGAGCAGTAATTGTGAAGGCGATGCACCTGTGCTGTGTAAAAAGTCACTCCAGCTGAAATGTGATGCCACTCTGGTCTCAATCCCTGGAAACAAAATGTAGACGTTTCAATAATTACATATTAAATTTCAAAAATATTCAAAGACCTTTCAAAAATGCAGTTGGCCCACAACTTGCAGTATTAATAAACTCTACCTTGAGGCTGTACATAGATCTTCTTGCTCTCACATACCTGGAAAAAATGGTCAAGAAATAAATGTTAGATCCCTACTGGACATTTGTAGTAGTGTAAGATGTGCGTTCCCAACCTACTGACTAATTAATTTCAATGACTTCTCCACTAGTTCATGTTCACTAGGAAAAAAAACTGTTAATAATAATAATTCGTATTATTATTTTACTAATTTTAGATATTAATATTACTTTATGAATGACCCTGAAAGCCCTGCAGATGAAAATAAAACTAAATGTCAATCGTTAGAATTTCTCTTTTTATGATAATAGAGTTATCCATGTTCAAAATTCACGCCCAAACATGAAAAGTCAGATTTCTGCACTGGTTTGTGATAGTGAGGTTCACCCCAGTGACTGCGTTCAAACGTTTTCATTTCACCACAATTCCACACTTTCCCAGACATCAAAGCTGTCAGTGGCCGTCAAAAATCTGTAAATCAAACAAGTCAAGCCACGCAAAAAAAAGCACCGCAATGCAATCACTGAGTAACACTTAAAGTCAGGCTGATGAAGAGGAGGAAGACAAAGCTCCCTTTATTCAAACTCAAACAAACGCACATACATAAGACATAAGGTCCTCTTTGATTTTTTTGGGGGGTTGTGCTAACAATAATTTTGAATAAAGAAAAGCAGACAGTGTTGTTATTTTTCCAAATTATTGCAACTAAACCCCAAGGGTTTCCTTACATCCCCTCTTCATCATCCCCCGTCCCTCATTTCTCTTTCAGGAGATGTCAGTAACGGCAGCAGCAGGGGGTCTTCTCTGGGAGATGCGTTTGAAGTAGAAGGCCTCTTATAGCTCTTATGCTCCCTAGTGACAACTATTCCCTTAAGACTGTCAAAAGGGTGTGAGTCTGCCTGTACTAATCAAACAGATCACATGAATCTATAACACCTGACCTGGCTAATGAATTGAAAAGTAAGAGAAATGCCACATAATACCTGATCCTATCAACATTTTTTAGGCCAAAGCCCTATTGGAGGGTTAAAAAATTAATTTAAAAAAAAGGAGAGAGACTATACACTACTGTTCAAAAGTTTGGGGTCAGTATATTTTTTTAAAACACAGTACATGTCAATAGTTTGAAAAATGTATATATTTTTATATGATTTTTATATATGTTTTATAAGTCTCTTGGGCTCACTGAGGCTACATTTATTTAATCAAAAATACAGTAAAAAGAGTAAAAATTGTGAAATATTATTACAATTTAAAATAACTATTTTCTATTTGAATATATTTTAAACCATAATTTATTCCTGTGATGCAAAGCTGAATTTTCAGCATCATTACTCCAGTCTTCAGTGTCACGTGATCCTTCAGAAATCATTCTAATATGCTTATCCAGACCACCTTATCCAGTACAGATTAGAAGACTAATTAAAGACCAATCTTAGAAGAAGTGATTAACAATATACTCGTAAGCTTATATAATCCTCTTTCATATTGTTCACGTACAATTAAAAATCTTTTACTCGCCCCTCGCTCCAGACCTATACTATATCTTCATTTTTGTGGAGCACAAACTTTTTAAAGAATGTTCTGGAGATTTCAAGCTTCAAAAAAGGTGCAAAAGCACCATCAAGCAGCATGTAGTCTATATGACTACACTCTAAAAAATGCTGGGTTAAATACAACCCAGTGCTGGGT